ACGAGTAAAAAAAAAAAATCGGTCGGGTCAGGATACAGAGATATTAAGTGTATCAGGCTATGTGCAAAATTTCAAATTTCTCAGGTAAAACCATTTGGTCCCAGGGTGGGTTTTTCTGTCAAATAGGTCAATGGGTGAATACATTTTTTCAGGTGTTGGTTTGTTTGTTTTTTACGCCACTGTATAAAGTTATACAGGGAGATTTAAAAAACAACAACCGATTTCATTACACAATATTTTACAAAAGAAAAATGAATAGAAAATTTCAGCTAGATTTAATTCAGAAGTAGATCTAGATCTAGTGTAGATATATACTTACAGTCAAATATTTTGTTCCTGCTTTGCAAGTGTCCAATGTGACCACCACCAGCAGCACGGGATGACGAGCTCATGATTCCACGGCGTCGTGATTTATTCCATACTTCATTGCTCGATCCTCAACAAAACCTCAATCGTTGTATATTACTTTAGGTGCGTACAGTGGATACTAAGGCGAGCATGGTATCTATTATTCAAAACAATTAATTGCTAGGACGAAACCCCGCGGGGAATAGCAGGCCCTGTCGATTGCTTATCAAAATGAGGAGAAGACGAGCTGGAATAGGCGTACAACATTTATCAGAACGGGGCGTTGCGGGGAAACGAATTCATAGAACATCTGCGTGGCGTAACAATCGGCGAGAACTGGAAAGTCTCGGCCATTCATAGTTGCATCCCTTTTGTTTGATTCCAGTTGGAACGATGGACAATGGAATTATGGGTTTCGGGTTCATTACATGCGGCTAGCAGCAGCCCGTCAGCCAGAAGCTGATTGGCTGTGGGTAAGCTAGTGGTGCTCTGATTGGCTGTGGTAGGCCAGTGGTGAATATTGTGTTGGGCCTATGATTCCAGTTTTAGCGGTTCGGAAACTTCTGAAACAGTGCTGTAAATATATGAAGCCTAATCTACCTATTCCAGTAAGGAACTGTGGTGGCCGAATGGATAGCGTGACTGCGTGCGGAGTGAACGGGCGTGGGGTCGAATCCTGGAAAATACTTCTTTTTTTTTTTTTTTTTTTTTGCCTCCTTTCTTCTCCTCCTCCCGACTGACCAACAATTTTTCCCCATAATTATAATTCGTTGTTTTGTAGTTTTTTAGCTAGTGATTAAGCACGCACATTCTGGTGTTGCCTTATAGAGGAGCTTTTACCTCTTTTCGATCATCGCTTCATCTAGCAATTTTATAGGCTAAGTGCTCAGGTGCAGCAATGCCTCACGTCTGCAAATACATGTAATTCATCAGATAAGTGATAGTAATCTGAAGATGAGTTGAATCTCTCTCTCTCTCTCTCTCTCTCTCTCTCTCTCTCTCTCTCTCTCTCTCTCTCTCTCTCTCTCTATCTCTATTTCTCTCTCTCTCTCTCTCACTCTCTCTCTCACTCTCTGTCTCAATCTCTCTCTCTCAATTTCTCTCTCTTTCTCTCTCTCTCTCTCTCTCTCTCTCTCTCTCACACACACACACACACACACACACACACACACACACACACACACAAACACACACACACACT